TGGCCAGGAGCGGCCACTGCACTCCAGTCTGGGCGACAGAGTGAGACTCCAACTCAAAAAAAAAAAAAGAGGAAGACGCTGTATGCTGGGGTGACTTCTCAGAGATGACCTGCAACCCGGCTGGGACTGGGCCTTCTCCCACAGATGAGAACATAGAGCAGACCCTGCCACAGGACACCCCACCATCAGACAAGGTGGGGGAGGGGACTGGCCTGGACGTTGTGGCCCCTGTGGGCCAAGCCAGGATGAGTGCCCCAGAGCACTCTGGCTTCCCGTGCCAGTGCCTGTGAGATGGTGCCCTGAGCCCTGGCACTGCAGGGGCTGGGGAGCCTGGCCCATGGAACCCAGGGCCATTCCCTGTCCTTGGGCTGCTGCCATCTCCCCTGGGAGGAAAGAGTGCAAGCACCCGCGGCCCCTGGCCTAGGTCTGTCCTCACAGTCTCCTGCTGCTTGGGATCCCCACACCCCAGCTCCTGCCAGAACCACCCAGGCCCTTTCCTGCTGTGGGTTCCAGGGGAATCAGCCGCCTGATGTGTGTGCATGTGTGCATGCACATGTGTGTGAACATGTGTGCCCGTGCATGAATGCGTGAGTGTGCGTGTGCCTGCATGTGTGCATGAGAGCATGGCAGTGTAGTTCAGAGTGGGGGCCAGAGCGGGGCCTGGCAGGCCTGTCACCGTCCCACTCATCTACTTGAGCTGACCTGGTGACCCAGGAGGCACCAGCGGGAAGCACCACGGCTGAAGAAGCCCACACTCCTAAGGGGCAGGGAACCTAACAGAGCCCAGGGCCTCTCAACAGCCTGTGGGTGGTGCTCTTCCTCCAAATCAGAGAAGTTGAAGGCTGGGAGATTTGCCAATGGCCCTGTAGCCATCACAGGGGCCCTGGGTGTATCTGGGGTCCTGACATAGTCTTGGCGGCCCTCCACCTAGCCTTGGCCTTCATGAAGCTGGCATCAGCACCTGCCGAAGGGCCTTGGAATGGCATTTGGGGAGCGAGGCCCACAGGGCAGGGCTGGCCGTGGGAGGCTGGCAGGTGGTGGGAGGCATGAGGGCATGGCGTCCAGCCCACCCCCGGGGACCTTGCAGGAGTGCCCAGTGCCCTGTGGACATCCACCCCTACTTGCCCCCACAGCCCTGGCCAGAGGCGCCCTTCTCAGCTCCTACCGGCACAGCCACTGAGGGCGTTCCCACCGCCCGACGGCAGCGAATAGTCTGCTCCTCTCTCAGGGGTCCCTTCTCACTCACGTGCCCTCTGTTCTGCCAGACACCAGGCCACAGTGGCCCCCGGCTCCACAGACCCTCTCCTTGTGGTCTAGAAAGTCCCTCCCGGCATAGCCTCAGGACCAACACCTGCTCCATGGCCCCTGTTCTCCAGACCGGTGAATGAAACAGTGGCTCTGACAGAAGTCGGCTCCTGTGTCCCCTGTCTGCGCTTGTAGGGCAGCCACTAGCCGAGGGCGGCTGAGTGTGGTTAGTCAAGTAAATGTAAAGCTCAGCCCTCAGCTGCACTGGCTACACCACAGGCTCGGCAGCCACAGGGGACGGCAGACAGGACATCCCGCCCCGGGGAAAGGCCTAGGACAACCCTACGCCAGCGCCGGGCCAAGGGGAAGGAAGTGCTCGGCCCCCAAGACTCTGGGCCCCGGCCGCTCCGCCTCGGGAGGCTGTCCGGTGGCAGCAGGGGGCGGGGCTGGCGGACGGGTCACCCAGCACTGCCCCCACCTGTCCTTCCACCTGGGAAGATACAGGAGGGGTCTCCTGCGTGAGCTGGCACCGTACGGAAGGCACCCATCCCTCCTGAAGGGGGCGCGCGACCCTGGGCACCCTGGCCAGCCGGCCTCGGGGTTCGGGGTCCGGAGTCCGGAGTCCGGAGTCCGGCCCTTCGGGGGAGCTGGGGGCGCGGCCCACCTCCCCCACGGCGTCCCTCTCGTGGGGATGTGTCCCCGTGGGCTCCAGCCGGCCTCGCCCGCCTCCCCCGCAGGGTCCTCCCGGGCCGCGGCCGCGCTCACCGAGGACCCGGGCGCCGGGGCCAGTAGCAGGGTCGTGAGCAGGAGCAGCTGCATCTCCGCCTGCCGAGCCGGGGAGAGTCGGAGCGGCCGGGGGCGGGGGAGAGGGCAGGTCGGGGAAGGGGCGGGGCTGGAGAGTCCGGGAGGGCTCGGGAGGGGCGGGACCGGGAGAGTGAGGGAGGGGCGGGCCAGGGAGAGCCGGGCCTGGCGGGGGGTCGGGGCCAAGGGAGGGGGCAGGGTCTGGGCTGGAGGTCGGGTGGTCCGGGAGGGGCGAGGAGG